TTCTCTAAATCAAACAGTGTATCAAAGCCTTAGGGTTTTAATCCTAGCACCCATCATCGTCTCATCATCACCCAACACCAATCAAAGAGCACAGACCACTACCTAGCCAATTTCGGAGGCTACCCATCACCTACAACTGATTGTACTTGTTTTTTGGCTGCTCCTCATGCCCTAGGAGGGGTCGTGACACTCATTAGATCCCCTTTGACCTTCGTCGCTTGTCACCCAGGCCTCTGGCCAGTTTGTGATTCACCTAGGTCATCCAACTCTGCTTCATGATTCAATCCAAACCATCTAGTCACTCATGCGACTTCAACTAGCACTTCTGGTCTGCCTTGGAACTTCGACTAGCCTGTCTGGTCGACCTCTCATCTCTATACAGCTCCGACAAGTAAATCTAGTCAGCCGATGGTCCGATTGAACTATCTTTATTTTCATTCCCTTCGTTACAACGCTTTAATCTTGTGATTGAGACACCAAGACTGCTATTTTGATTGAAATTTCACCCTTTTACCATTTTATTTATTTTTGGGGTGGCGTTTGCACCCATTTTTGTAAAATTCCTATCGACAGGTGGATTAATCGGATGATGACATGTGGCAATGAAGTCAAAATGAAGTCTTTGAGCAGTCAAGGGGCTGGTGGCATTAGAGAGGCTAATCACATGCATCGGATGGTTCAGATGATGGAGCAATTATCAGGCTAAGTCCTGATGATGGAGCAGTTATCAGGCTAGGTCATGGGCTTAGTGGGCAACTTGCAAGAAGAGTCATGTGTAGAATGGAAGTTTTTCTCTGTCGATGGAAGGTCCAAAGGACTGAGGGACACGTGGCAACATGAAGGAGAGGTGGTTCGACAGATAGAAATGAAGAATTGGCGAAGTTTGAGGGTTAGGAAGTGAGAGCAGTTGCAGCAGTTGTGCAGTAGCAATTGCAGGATATAGGGGAATCATGCAATCATGGGCCAGAGAAAAATGGGGAGGTATAAAAGCAGAAGGTGCCCAAAGGGAATGGACATAATCAACAATACAACAACTTAGTTTTAGACTTAGCATAATCTAGGAGTAGCTTTCTTAGTTTAGAAGTAGTTTCTCTCCGTAATTTGTCATCTTTTTAAACATTGGTGGTTTCAGCTTGAAATCATTTTTAGTTTGCTTTGTTTACTTTGTTTGATCTTGCTGATTGTAACTTTTGTTCCAAAAAAGTCCTTGTACTTTCAAGGCATTTGAATAAAAAACACAGTTGCCTGATTATCCTTGTTTAATTGTTTGGTTTAAATTGTTGTTTAATCCTGTCGATTGGGGATAAGCATAATTTTTACTAACAATTTTTGGCACACCCAATGGGACAACATCCTAATTTGGAACAATGGAAAAGACGAGGCATCAAGGCCAAATGAGTGGCCCTTCTACATTGCCTAGTAGCAGTTTGGTTTTACAATTAAAGGAGGCTCTTGCATCCCTTGCAGTTAAGGAAAAACAGGTGCTGGTTGGTGAGTTAAGAAGTGTTATTGATGATTTTTCTAGAGGGCAGTGTCAAACAAGGGTGGAGGTCCACAAGACACCTTCAAATGTTGGTGTTGTTACTCCATCAATTGTCATGGTTGCAAAAACAGAAGGCCATAAGAATCAAAATTTCATGGCAAGGGGCCAATTTCACAAGGAAGAAATATTTTCTAGGTTTTCAAAAAAAAAAAATTAACTATGTGTGAAACAAAAAATCAGCCCTTTGTTGCAACTCTCAATCCAGAGAGTAATGCAAACAATTTGGTTAAAAAGTGTGATCTTAAACCAACTATGGCTGAAAATTATGAACAATCAATTGTTGATGAATTTGAAATCTTTGACATCGTTCAAGATGTGAAAGTATGAGATTTTAAGGCCACCTTATACTATGGCTTTTATTATTCAAAGTCTTTTTTGGATTTGTGGATCACATCAAAGTTTTGTTCGTTATGAAATGGCTAACAAGAGAACAAAGTTCGGAAAGTTACAGAAATATATTACCAATTGTGATTTCTTGATTAGCCAATTTCGAAGTACCAATAACTAAAACAATCTGATGTCCCAAATATTTACTTTATGGTTTACAATGTCTATCGACATTGGAAGGTTATTATGCTCCAACTAATAGGCCAATTCTTGCTTAAGTATTTCTATGGTTTGGTTCTTGCATTGCTCTATCGATTGTGTAAATACACTGTCAATTGAAGTAATCTATTACTAATTTAAAAACTCATACATGGCCTACATTGGACTACATTTGTGTAGGATGCACAACATATTTATAATATGACCTTTGGTAGCTATCTTATTAACATGTGCTTATAATATTCATTTTTTTTTATTAGTAAAAAAGATTTATTTTGGTGAGGGTTTTTGACAAATAAATTTTATATACAACTCTTACAAATCAATTTTGGTGAGGATTTATTTTGGGGCGAGGTTGTTCTCACTACTGCATATCTCATTAACCATCTTCCTACACAAGTCTTACAAAAAAAGGGCATCTCTTCAAGTTCTCTTAAGTTTTGAGTCTTTGTTTTCCATTCCTCAAAAAACCTTCGGCTGTGTACATTTTGTTCACAATCATTATCCTTCTCGGGCTAAGTTGGATCCTCATTCTCTCAAGTGTGTGTTCTTGGGTTACTCTCCTACTCAAAAGGGGTAATTATCCTCCCTCTCATAAATGGTTTGTGTCCATGGATGTCACCATCTTTGAGTCTCAATCGTACTTCTTGTCCAATCTAGGGTCCTAGTCATCTCTTCAGGGGAAGTCTTGGAGCAAAGAAAGTCCGGTTGCTTCTATTATTCCTGGCACAGTACATGTTATTCCTCCTATTGTTCTTGGCCCAGTACCACCACTAGTGGTACCTATTACTAGCAATATAGAATCCGATGTTGCCAAGAACAGAGAAGGGCAAGTCTATGTCAGGGATAAAGAAAGGAAAAAAGTTACTTGGATACAAGAGACTGTTTCTGATCAATCACTGTTCTCTCCTTCTCTTGATGAAGGTCCAGGTAATCCTGAAACTCCTGATATATCTCTGAGTCTGAGCCTACTGATCTTGATATACCCATTGCCAAGAGAAAGGGTATGAGATCTTATACTCATCATCTTATCTCTAACTTTGTGTCTTATTCTCATTTGTCCTCTTCATATAAAGCCTTTGTGTCAAAATTTTCTTCTGTTAGTATACCTAATCATTTTCAGAATGCTCTTGCTATTCCTGAGTGGAAACTGATCAGGATGGAGGAAATGAAAGTACTTCATAAGAATGGCACTTGAGATTTGACTGAGTTACCTAGAGGCAAACGAACTATGGAATGCAAATGGGTGCATACTATGAAACACAAGGCAGATGGTTCAATTGAGCGGTATAAGGCTCGACTTGTGACAAAGGGTTTCACTCAGACCTATGGGGTGGACTACCAAGAGACATTTGCTCCAGTTGCAAAGATGAATTTAGTCAGAGTATTTCTCTCTCTGGCAAGTAATCTGGATTGGCCACTTTATTAATTTGATGTAAAGAACGCTTTCCTGCATGGTGACCTAGAAGAGGAGGTGTATATGGACATTTCTCCTGCCTTCGAAACTCTTCGAGCTAAAGATAAGGTGTGTCGACTTCAAAAGTCATTATATGGCCTCAAATAGTCCCCTAAGGCTTGGTTTGAGAGGTTCACTCAGGCAATGCTGAAATATGGCTTCAAACAGAGTCCGGCTGATCATACTCTGTTTGTTAAACATTCCTCTCATGGTAAGACTACTACTCTCACTGTATATGTGGATGACATACTGCTTACAGGAGATGATGTTGAGGAAATCCTTTTGTTGAAGAAGTATTTGGCCAGCGAGTTTGAAATCAAAGACTTGGGAAACCTGAAGTACTTTCTCGGAATTAAAGTGGCTAGGTCCAAAGAGGGGATTTTCATCTGTCAGAGAAAATATGTCCTTAATCTGTTGAAGGAACAAGTATGCTTGCAAGTAAAGCCTGCGATATACCACTGGAGCCTAATCAGAAACTTTGTGATGATAATGGGGGAGCAGTCGTTGATAGGGGTTATTAGAGACTAGTGGATAAGCTCATTTACTTATCTCATTTTTATCCTGATATTACTATTGCCGTTAGTGTGATTAGTCAGTTCATGCATGCTCCTCATGAAATACACTTGGCGGCAGTTATGAGAATTTTGAGATACTTGAAATCTTCTCCTGTAAAAGGTCTTTATTTTTCCAAACATGATTATCTTAGTGTGGAAGCTTATACGGATGCTGATTAGGTAGGATTAGTAACTGATAGAAGGTCCACTTCAGGGTATTGTACCTTTGTTGGAGGCAATTTGGTTACTTGGAGAAGTAAGAAACAGAATGTGGTTGTCAAATCTAGTGCAAAAGCTGAGTTTAGAGCTATGGCACAAGGTGTGTGTGAGCTCTTGTGGATCAAGTTGTTATTGCGTGATCTGGGAATTGTCTAGAAAGACTCCATGCGGCTATATTGTGATAGTAAAACTGCCATCAACATAGCTCACAATCCGGTTCAACATGACAGGACAAAGCATATTGAGATTGATCGTTACTTTATCAAAGAGAAGCTCACTAGTTGCACAATATGTACTCCATTTGTGAAGTCTAGCGAACAACTTGCAGATATCCTTACTAAGGGAATTGGGAGTAAACCATTTCATAACATTCTTGTCAAGCTGAGCATGAGAGATATCGTTGCACCAACTTGAGGGGGAGTGTTGGAATATATGTTAGAATCATTCTATTATTTGTTTCCTTATTTAGATTATATTGTGATTCCTTAATTAGTGCCTTGGGGCTTTCTTTATAACGGTTTTGGTTGATTAATATAAAAGGGGTGATATCATTATCATTCCCTAAGTTAATTTTTCTCTAAATCAAACAAGTTTTTCATACTTTGAAACTTCAACTAAACAGTAAGAAACAACATAGTATGATAGTAATGTAAAACTAAAACTTCATGATACAGCATACTACCTCTTTAAGACTTTCCAATTGACAACACCTGTCTCCCGTTCTTCCTGCTTTATAAGAACAGATTTTCCTTCTTTCCTTTTATTTTTTGAGTTCACACTTTTTGGAAAACCATTCTGCACACCATTATCAGCAGGCTTCGAGGATTTATAGTCAAGATTAATTCCATCTTCCATTTCATCACCATATTCCTTTTCATCTACATGTTCTTCCATTTTCCCTGCATTCTCCATGAGCTTTTTGAACAATGTTCCACTTCTAGAAAGCTCCTCAAATGTTCCCTCCTCTTTGACCATACCTTCAGATACTAGTATAATTTTGTCCACCTGAGGAAGAAAATGTAGCTGGTTTGTGACAAGCACTCTGGTTTTCCCTTGCAACTGGCCCTTGATACAGTTGTTAAAAACCTGGAGGAAATTGATACTGGAGATTAGACCAAGAACCAACAAAAAAAAAAAGAACAAATGAATGATTAACAAAATTAAGAAGATTCAAGAGCCAATTTAGTGATAATTATGACCCAAGATAATGTTTAGAAAACATGAGTAATATTTTGGAGAGAAATAAAGGAGAGATGAAACAGAAAGTCATCTCAGTTTTCTGATTATTCTTCTGAAAGGTATATTTCAGTAAATTTAGCTTGTTTACAAGTATGAAGAGTCAGCAACAAAGAGTTTCAGAGATCTTTTTCCATAAAGTATATGGTATAATCTCAGCACAAATGACACTCTAAGTCAAAGTAAACCATTTTAAATATAAAAAATTTTGTTCTCTCTAAATAGCTAGGTGACAATATATTGCTTAAACATGAAATGTTTACCTGTCGACCAACATGGGTATCTAGAGCACTAAAAGGGTCATCAAATATGTATACATCTGCATTTGAATATACAGCCCTAGCCATGGAAACTCTTTGCTTTTGTCCCCCACTAATATTCACCCCTCTTTCACCAATCTCTGTAAGATCGCGACCCTGAAAAAGCATTAAATACACAAGAAATTCAAGTCCAGGATCCATTTTAATGTAATGACAGCATTCCATCACATATCATGTTAATGAAAACTAATCACAATCATATAACATTATACTTAACAGGAAGTAAGTCAAGGTCATGCTGCAATGCAGTTACATCTATTGCCTTCCAGTATCTGGTTGGTTCAAAGTTAGATCCAAATAATATGTTCTCTCGTACCTGCAAGGATAAGATTTGCTCATTAAAAATGTGAATGACCATAAATCCTGAGCATTTTTAATATAACAAATTTACAGCTACAGGACATAGTTTTGATTGAGGATGAGCATGCTGTAACTCACAGTAGCATTGAAAATCCATGAAATTTGGGGAACATAAGCAACAGATCCTCTGATGACAACACTTGCATCTGCTACCGGCGGAAGCTCCCCAATCATTGCCGATATAAAAGACGTCTTTCCTTCTCCAGTACCACCAACAACTGCAACGAGACTACCAACTGGGATGTCCAAATTGATGTTTGCTAATATGGGGTTTTCTGCCTGAAAAAATATACATAAAAATACAGGAAACATAAATCCTAAAAGTTCACAGGATTGCTAATGTTATCAGTATATGAGAAGATTGAACTCTTGTGTGACTATTCAGTGGAAAGGTAATGGCTTCACAGCTGGAGTAGCATACCGTTTCCTTTATTTTATTTTCACTTTTTTGTTTTTTGGCAAGCAACTGTAACATTTTCTTGTTGGTGCATAAATGGTAAACCTTTACCATTAGACAAATAGGGCTAAAATATGTCCTATAAAATTCTGTGTTTCACTCTAGTTCATATAACAACATTCACAAAGTGCACAAGGGTCTTGCTTGCAGAAGGTCCGGGAGAGAGTAGGTACTAGGTAGGCAGCCTCCCCCCAACTTTATTGTAGAGATGCTGATTAAAAAAAGTTCCAAGATAAAAAGTGAAAAATCATTATGAATGTTGAGTAACTTGGAATATATCTCTCATCTTTCCAAAGTCCAAATGCTTTTAAATCCTAATTATTCCTGGGCAATACAAGTTAAGTTTGAACTATTTGTATGTAGAGAGATTCATGACAGCCACTTTTTCTTTTGATTGCTTTCTTAATCTATTCATGTCACCAGCAAGTTTCTTTAGATAATGGCTACTTCCTATAGATTCCCCATGAACCTCTTATGATAATCTTTGATTCAAATATGCTATATTTATAAACACCCAAAAGATACATGATGCTTTGACAGCTCCATTATATATTATATTATAGAGAGAACACAATGCTTAAGCAAAGGTGCAAAGACAAAGCAAAATAAGTAAGCATGAAGGACTAAAAAGTGCTACGAATGTCAAAATTTACTTTGTTGAGTGCTAGAATAGTTATATGTTCTATGTTATTTTTGTGTTAAGTTGAGGGTACTATGGTCATATTGTTAGCTGGTATGTTTTATAAATATGCGCTGATGGTTTTAGGTTTATTTTAAGAACCTACAAACATATATTCAATATAACGCAGTCTTCCTTTCTTCTCCTTTCTCACTCTCTCTAACCTAATCACAGTTTTACATATTTTACATTCTAACTTGGTATCAGACCATCAATTCTACCCTATCAAGTGTTCATTAGACTCTCGGGATTATTCTGAGGTAACAACGATGTGCTGATGTCATCCTTCGTACGATGACATCAGCATGACATCACAATTTGTATGGACCAGATTGGCTTCCCAAGGTCGTTTTCTCCCTCTGATGATGATGATGACTTTTGTGGAATTTTTGGGGATCATTTGATGTGAGTTTTCAATTTTCGAATGTTTTTTGAGTTTTTTGTGGTATTTTCTTCAATTTGTGATAGCCCATTACCCAAAGTTTCTTCTTGTAATAAACTCTATGGGAGCCAAAATTGCCCTAGAGAGCTGTTTCGGAGTTGGCCTTGCTATTTTGTTGATGTTTTGTTGGATTTTCAAGTGATTCTATTTATCTGTTCGGCACACCATTGTTGATTTTGTTCCAGTGCTGTACCTATTTGTTCATTCTGGTGATTATGGTAATTCAGCTTGGTGATTACTAGAAGTGGTAATTTCTTTGGCTTGTTTGTTTGTTTTCTTCTTCTTCTTCTTTGCTTTTGTTTTTTTCCACTTTTCAAACCCTGCGCAGCCTTCCTCCCAAGCCCTTTTTTTTTTTTTTTTTTTTTTTTTTTTTTGGGTGTGCTTGACTGGTGGCTGGTGTTGGTCTTTACTTTGTGTTGCCATCTATTGTTATTTTCTGGTATTGTTGTTTATCTCATTGTCATGGCTAAGGCAAAACCTGATGCAAAATCTTCATTGGTTAAGGATGATGACTTACCCAAGTCTATTATCACTAAGAAATTAAATGGACTGAATTATCTGGCTTGGGCCCATGTAGTTAAGATTTTCTTGCATGGCAAGAAAAAGTCACGCTTTCTTATTGAACTTCCACCAGCTGATAATGATAAGGGCTATGATGATTGGTTAAGTGAGGATTCATGTGTTATGGGGTGGCTTTGGCATAGTTTGGAACCCAATGTTGCTACTACAGTGGAGCTTTGTGAAACCTCTAATGAAATTTGGGACTCCCTTGCTGATTCTTTTTCAAATCAAAGTAGTATTTCTCGTGTTTATGAGTTGTATGAACAGATCTTTGCTACTCGACAGTCTGGTTGTCCTTTTCTGCCTAAATATTATAGTGGAGAACTTGTGGGATCAATTACTGCAACACAAACCCTTTACTACTAATTTGGCCCAACAACAGAAATATTGGGAGGAGTTTATAATGGTATACTTACTTTTGGGTTTAGCTTTTGATTTACGGGGTTACAAAGATCAGATTCTTACTAGTGAGACTTTACCTTCAACTAGGGGTGTGCGCGGTGCGGGTCGGTGCGGTTTGAGAGAAAAATAGAAACCGTATGGCGGGTGGCGGATTGATAAAAGTGTCACTAGAATTTGCCATTTTTCTTACCAAAAACCGGCGGTTCGATTGGCAAATAATAACGAATTTGCCTTGACGGTGCGGTTCGGTGCGGTTTTGGCGGTTTCGGCGGTATTATGCACACCCATACCTTCAACTACTAATGCCTACTCTTGGCTTTTGCGTTCTTCTTTGGGACAGGGTCATTCTACGTCTGGTTCCTCCTCTTAGTCCTTGTCCTCTTCTGCATTAATCTCTAGTAGTGGCGACCGTGGGCCTACCCCTAGGTGTTTTCATGGCCACTTTAGTCACTGTGGCTCTCATGCTAGTTCACGTGGTTCTCATGGTGGTCATTCTTCTCATGGTTATCGGGATAGTGGTTGGCGTAGTGTTAGTTCCATGTCCTGTTGTGATCGAAAGTGTACTCATTGTGGTTCCTTGGGTCATTCTGAACCCTGGTGTTGGCAGAAGTATGATAAACTTGATCACGTGAATCAGGTTATGGATGCTCCATTCTTTTCATCTGGTACGGCGGTTTCCCCAACCGATTCTCATGATACACTCACCACTCAGATTAGGAAGATTATTGACCTCGTCCATTCTCTTCACATTGCTCTTCCTTCATCCTTTACAGCTACATTGGCTAGTATAGGTAATATTGCATATATGGCTCAAACTTCCGAATCTGGGCTCCTAGTCTCCGGTGCTAGTTTTGACTTTTCCGGTAATTCTTCTATTTTTCATACTCTTCGTCCTTTTACCCATAATATTATCTCAGTTGGATCCTCCCGACCAGTCAGTGGCCAAGGTACTCTTCAGTCCACTCAGTTTCTCTCTCTCTCTCTCTCTCTACCCTCTAGTCTCTATGTTCCCCTATGTCCATTTAATTTGCTTTCTAATTAGTCAATTAACAAAAGTTCTTCACTGTTCCATAATCTTTTTGTGAGAATATATTCGTATATATTAGGCATTGTATATATTAGGCATGTTTGTGATGATTGTATTTCCTTTTTTGGTCCTATTTTTAAGCTGCTCGGTTTCCTCATGAGGCCAACCATCAACAACAAAGACATCTAAGGAGAAGCCATCAATAGTTGAAAAGGCATGTGCTTCTTGAATGTTCAGTCCAATCTCAGAAACTAAGGAAGTCAACTGACTAAGGAGCTTTGGCCTGTCTACTGTCGAAAAAGTGATCTCGTGCATTCGCTGAGAAAACTGTGCAGTGGAATGAACAACACTATCTTCGTCTTCAACTTCAAATGTGTAAACTTGAAGTACAAGAGCTTCAAGATTAGGTGACGAACCAAAGGTAGGGGGTGGATGGATTCCCCGTCTACTAGAATGATTTTCATAACTTTGGGCATCTTCTTTCACTAGAGAATCCAAATGATTAGAGTCAACTGAATTTCCACAAGAGGTAGGATGAACCTGCACAAGACGAACTTCAAATACAGGTCGAACAGCAGGGTCTTCCGCCAGATGAAGTAGTCTCTTGTGCGTGAGCACATCTTCAGCCCTTTCCACGCTCACGTCCAATGCATATCTAGGAGGGAGACGATTGAAGTGAAGCCAAAGTTGGTCTTTGAAACCAGGGAGATTGGCGTCTTGGTGATTCAAGTGTTGGAGTCGAGTGAGGACTTCATTGAAGACTTCGAGTCTCTGTCCGCCCTGTCGATTTTGCTTCGGCGACGAATCCACAGCTCTACTACCCCAACTCTTGTTGTCTTCCATCGCCATTAAAATCAAAGAAAGTCAAATCAAATTGAAATCATAAGAAATTAGAGTTTGAATTTGTAGTTTTGTAGGAATTCGATTCAGAATCTTCGTAGATGGTGAGTGAGTGAGTATCGTTGAAGGAGGAGGAGGATGGTAGTTTTCAAGCGATCAAGAGAGAGAATGTGATGATGGACCAATCTATAAGATATTTTGGTCAAATAATGCCTTAGAATATGTGCAATCTATTATACATCAGACTAGTTGTGCTCATACCTCCCAACAAAATGGTGTTGCTAAGCGGAAACTGTTAGAATAGGAAACAAGTTAAAATAGGAAATATATGATTGTATTTTCTTCTTCTTTATTCCATTGATTGATGTAATGGGTTAACCCATATATTATGCCTTATGGCATTCCTGTAATTACTCAGTATTATTAATATAAAAGGGAATGAAGTTTACCTCATTCCCTAACTCTTTCTCATCTTTAAACCTACATGGTATCAAAGCCAGTGGGAGAAACCTAAGCATAGCCACCTTCTTCCATCGCAGGACTGCCCAGGCCACCCAGACCCTTTGCCTAGGACAGTCGACCCCCTACCCAGGCCAACCGAAGGAAGTTTCTAGCCATTCGGCCTTTACCCTGTTAAGAAGAAGGTCAATCGGCTCTTTCCCAGGCTAGCTGAAGCTTTCTCTGTCCTCCTCTAGGCCTGTTGGCAGTCCTAGCCTGTCATCCTAGGTCTATCGACAAACCCAGAGGCCTTTTTAGTCTCTCTCTAGGCCAGTCGGCAGCCCCTGGTTGGTTGATGGGGCCTTCATTGCGTTCATTGATTACTGCCTCATCAATCCAAGTGTTTTTCTTCTTCGTGTTTCGTTCTTCTCCG